AACTATGAACATTATAACTTTGAGTGAAAAAACATGTTTTTTAAGAAATTTATTGATTTAAACATTTAAAAAAAGTTCTTTTGATTTATAACCATGATTTTTTTTCTGAAAAAAAAAGCAGATTAAAATAGTGTCAGTTAAATGTAATTGGATCTATTTTTGATATAATCGAATTTTCATTATTTCATATTTTTATCTTTCACTGAAATCAAGTCATAATCCATTTTAATTAAAAATTACTAAAATTACTTCTATTGTCAAATCTAGTGACAAGACAAATATTTAAAATTACCTATTTCGGTCTTGACTTGCTTTTTTTATTAAGTGATAGCATTATGTACATAAAGGACAGGCTTTATAAAAATCTAACTAAAAACAAAAAGTTGCATTGTAACTATCTTTGGTTTTAAAAAAAAACTGTTTTAATATAAAAGGATTGGTTAAACAAAGGATTTGATTGGTTATCAAATGCATTTAGTAATGTTATACTATATAGTTTTTTTGATTGATTTTTCCAAAGCTTTCAACACAGTAAACCGTGAAGTCTTAAAAAACTAAAACATAATAAAGTTTAAAACCAAAACTTACTATAAATTAAAGGATACTTGATTAACAGAAAGCAATTTATAATTAAAGAACCAAAAGATTCAAATAGAATGTTTTGACCCTAAAATTCAATTTTAAGATCATAGTTGTTTTTAATTTTATATAAACTTATATATAGCATTATAAATATTAAATTCTTTCTTATTAGCTGATGAACATGGGTCATCCATAAAGTGCGCCATGCTGGTTTTAGCTTTTAAATAGAAGTAGAAGGTTGTCTCTTTTAGGTGGAGATTTTTAAAGTAATATTGCGCTTTATATTGAATGAAAACAGCCGAAAATAAAGCAGCCGTGGCGCAGTGGTTAGAGTTCTGGCTCAGAACTCAGAGGTCCCAGGTTCGACGCCAGCTCTAGCCCAACAAGCGACATTGGTACGGAAGGAGGCGTGAACTTCCTGTTAAATGATCTTCCGCGGTGCTCTATGATAAGACCGTAAGGACTTCTGGGAGCACCTAAATACATACAAAAAAAAAAAAAAAAAAAAAAACTCCGCGCAAGAAAGCATATAGTTGAATGAATTCTCCTAATTTTATTAAAAAGATAGATTTAGATTTAGCGTAACGTGAAGATTTAACGTGATGTATTTTAATTTAATTCTGGCATTTTGGCATTATAAAAATATTGTATCGGAATATCGGTTTTTAAAAAAAATTTAATCATTTAAAAAAATGTAAATAAATTTACAAATCACGAATAATTTAATTTCTCAGAATTAACTCTTTCATCGATCAACTTCACTAACCTTAAAGTGAAATATTTTGTTGGCACGTTCCTCAAAAACAGCGCTTTGAATCTAAAGTTTTTTCCGATTTATTATGCCCAACAATGAATTGAGAGTAATCGCATTAAAAACGCGTAGAAAATTAAAATCTATTAAGATCATGTTTCAACTATAACCTTCTGGAGCTTTATTTAGATAAGAAGTTAAATCGAACAACTCCATTCTTTTTGTTACCCAAAAAAAAACACGGCACGGGTCATCCGGAGGACGTCCGTTAGACGTCTCACAGACGTCCAGACGTGTCTGGACGATGTCCCAACGTGTCTGGACGATGTCCCAACGTGTCTGGACGATGCATGCCTACTGGGTATGATTCGCTCTTTTAACGCACTAATAAGATCTTTTCTCAGCAACTTAATTTCAATCAGCCAGTTAAAAATAAATTTACTTATTGTATCCGCAAAAATTAAGTTAGATTCTTTGCAAGAAAGTGACTCAACGGCTAATTTTTTTTTTCTACGGCATTTTTAACAACGAAAGTGCTGGATAGTAGATAAATCTGTTTTAAAATCGATGTCTGTAAAATACAAACTTTAAACTATTATATGATTTTTAAATGATTTCTATTTGTGAAAACGTTCAAGCATAGGTTATAGACTATTCTTTACCAAATTTAAGTTTTACATAGTTCTGCACCTTATTTTTATAGAATAAAAGAACGTTTAAGGCATTATTTTAAAATATTAGCACATTTTAAAAATATCTTGTCTGGAAATTCTTTTTATAAAATTTTGGAAATTCTTTTTATAAAATTTGGAAATTCTTTTTATAAAATTAGTTCAGGAATAAATTATAAGCAGTATTTATTTTGTCTGATTAAAATATAAGATTTGTAATCAACGTAATCATTTAATAAAACTTGAAATTGGCATATGGAGCTTTTATTAATTTGTTCCGTGACTAATTTTGATTCGAGGGAGATAATATTAAGTATCAATATTATTAAGAGTTACGCTATCAGTAGTTAAGGATATTGGGAAGAAATCAGTTGAGTTTTGATTATATCCAAAAGAGTTATAATAGAACAGCTATTACAAAAGTTGTTAATACATTATCCAGTAATGTTGGTGAGTTTTGAGTCATGTTGTAGTTAGGCCAAGGTTGTATTTGAAAAGAGTATCAATAAAATATTTGACTTTATAACTGAGCAAGTCAATGTTTGTGTCTTCAACTTTGTAAACATGCTTCCACTATGTATTAATTTTTTGGTTAAAATGATACGAAGATAAATATTAAATGTTTTTAAAATACCAGCTTGATGTTTTTAATTAACGACATTAACAATATTTTTATTGAATTACTTATTATTTTCAACGCCTAAACACAAACAGTTTGCTTTATTCTTAAAAGAAATTCTTAAGAAAATCCTTTTTTTTGGTGTCAAAATATGTTTCGCCATTTCCTCAATTTATTTATCTTTATTCAATGCAAGTCTGTATAAAATATGCAAAAAGTAATCAAAAATCCAATTCAATCAAGCAAATGAAAGTTTTGATTAAAAAGCATCATGTTGTGCTTGTAATTGTCTTCAGTAATACCTTGGCTTACCATTATTGTTAATGGTCAGAACCATGGTTAAATGTCTAAAGCTACTTTCATCTGCATGATTGAATTAGATTTTTAAATACTTTTTGGATATTTTATATAGGTTCACATTGAACAAAGGTAATTAAGCTGGAATTGAAGCTGGAATTTCGATTGCCTGTTTTTTTCGTTGATGTTGCTTTTTGTTCAGCGTCTTAACTACTTATTAATGATATTAATCTGAACCATTTATGTAGTCCAGATCAGGAATGGAATGGGCTAAATTTTGAAAATAAGACATTGAGTAGCTTAATATACTTTTCAGTATCAGTTTGTTCTGATTGTTATGAGAGCACGTTTAACTCTACTGATTGAAGATGGTATCTTGTTTCCATGAAGTCATGATGCTACTAATTAAACAAGATATCACAAACTATAGAAATCACAAGTTCTTTTAATTAGTTGAGTGCTTTAATCATCGCCGCACACAATCCACAATTGTAAAAAAATAGTTTTGCCAATTCCACTCCTTATAATAAATTTTTATTATTTTTTTTGTTAAATGAAAAAAACTTTATTAAAATACCATGCTTTTAAAAGTTAAAAAGAAATTATTCTGTTACGAAAAGCTCACATTTGCGCGCCCTAATATTTACCTGAGGTTGTTACATACAGCAACACTTTAAAAAATATACATAAATGTTGTTAAAAGACATTTTTTAGTGTGTTTCTTTAAATTGTTAAGTTTGAGAAAAAAAAATTATGTTTACTTGAACGAGCTCCAACTTTGCGATAACAAATTGTGACAATTTAAAATGTTGGAGATATATGTACTTTAATAAAAGTAGTTTTATTAAAGTATATACTTTAAAGTTCCTTAATTGCTTTTTAATTACCCAGTGGGCACGGAAGTTAAAAAGACGTCTTTTAAACGTTTAAAATACGTCCAAAACAGTCAAAAGACGTTCAGAAAACGTCTAAAACGTGTATAAGACGTTTAAAAGACGTCCTTTTTTACTTCCGTGCCCACTGGGTAGTTTCACATTTACTTCTGATAAAAAAACGATTAACTATTATTCTATTTCTTACCACTGTGTGACTTTTTTTTAACTTTGATATTTTATAAATCACTAACACGCAAAAACCCCAATTGAAAAAAGTTGCACTTTTGCTAGATTTCAATTTTTTTTAAATTGAACATTGTATCCCTGTTGGCTCAAAGCATTGATTTTCATTGGGCTAAAAATTAATTAGAAATTTTTATAAAAAAATTAAAAAAAAAGTGAAATGACTATATATAAGGAATGAAACGATCCATCCTATTTATAATTTCAGATTGTTATTTCTGTGTACCATAAAAAAGGGTTTTCTGTTTGCTGTAAAAAAGGGTAAAAGCGTTAATGACCATGCACAACACTTCCTGCTTTATTAATTTCAATTGAACCACCCAACAGCTGAAACTGTATGAAATACATACAATCAAATAGGTCAGGGTTTAGTATCTGAGGCAACAGGTATTGTTGTTCAATACTTTACAACAAAAAATTAACGTTGCAAGATCGTTCAAGATCAAGCAGGCTGTTCATAACACTATAGATTGTCCATGCACGAAATAGAAAAGATCTCTAAGACTATATATATATATATATATATATATATATATATATATATATATATATATATATATATATATATATATATATATATATATATATATATATATATATATATATATATATATATATACATATATATATATATATATATATATATATATATATATATATATATATATATATATATATATATATATATATATATATATATATATATATATATATATATATGTATATCTATATATATATATATATATATATATATTTTTTTTTTTTTTTTTTATGTGTTTATATATTTATATATACACAAAATTTCTATGCAACTAAAACAATCATTAACGTTTTTTAAAATCTTTTAAGAGTTTAAAAAACGTTAAAAAAAATTTTTTAAGAAAATATTAAAAGTAAGACTTATAAAACTATTTTACTTAATCTTTAAATGTTTTTTGGAATCAATATTTAAAAGCGCTTACGTTTATATGCGTATCTTCATCGTCTCTGGCCTCATTCTAAAATAAAAAATGTGTTTTTAACGATGAATTAAAATGTTTAGTATTTAAATCTTATTTAGGTTTTCATTTAAAAAACAAATAAAACATTACCAGTAGGATATAAAATTTCAAGACTTATAAAAGTCGACAATGTACAGTAAAAATAATTTTTCAATGTGCATTCTACCAAATATTTTATTTAAAATTTTTAATTTTTTTTTTTTTTTATTTTTCTTAAATTTTATATAGATGCACCAAGAAGCCCTTACGATCTTTTCACAGTGCACCACGGATGAGCATTTAGTTAGAAAAAACACGCCTCCTTCCTAACCGATGTCGCAAAACTTGCCCAGTGGTGGGGTTTTAACCACAGATCCTTTGTTTCTGAGGCAAGTGCGCTACCACTGCGCCACGGCTGCTCGAACTTAATTTGTTATTATTTTTCGTGTAAATTACAAGCAAATTTATAAATCTGTCAATAAAAAATTCCCACGAAGGCGGCAAGAATGTTAAAATCAGTAATGTATGATATTATTTATGGATCCTGGGCCGCCGAGAGGGAGGGGCAATAGAGGCATACGTGCCCCGGGAGCCAAAAAAAGTCATAATGAGATTTTAATTACAAAAAAGTAAAAAAATTGTTTTTATTGATGAGGTAAAAAATAAATTTATTCATAGCAATTAACTTTGCTAATCACCAGATCTAATTCAAACAAAACATTTTATTTTTTAAGATAAACTTTGTCAGGTTATTTACGAAAAAAATTAAATATATCTCATAAATACTTTTTTAAGTTATTCTGAAAATAAATTTTAAAATACCAATTTTAAATAGCTAAATTAACTTTTTTTGTTAAGCTTTAACAACTTCTTAGTATTGTTAAAGTCTCAACACGAGTTAAATGTCACGCCTACCCTCAAAAAAAGGAAACAAAGACTTATAACTACAAGTCTGTGGTCTCACTTACACCGTGCAAGGAGACGAAGAGAACTATTATATTGAGGATTATAAAACACAGTGTGCAATCTATTATTAAAGTCTCAACATGGATTTGTACATCTTAAAGGATGACTTACAAACCTGATTGAGTTCAGTATCATTTTAATGGAAGCAGTTTACCGTGGAAACCCAAATAAAAGATTTTTTTACCGACTTTGTCAAAGCATTCAACACATTGTCGCGCTACAATTTTTTAAAAAGATTCATGCCTATGGTATTTGAGACCAGCTAATAAATCAGATCATAAATTGGCTGTTTAACAGACATCAAGGATCAGTTTTTGCATCACGGCTATTTGTGTTCTTCATGAATGACTTACCAGACTGCATTTAAAACTATACCAAATTATACGCGATGATGGCAAGATTATACGCCGATGATAGCAAGATTATACGCCGATGATAGCAAGATTATTGCCGATAATGGCAAGATTATTGCCGATAATGGCAAGATTATAAGAGTTATTAATGTCAATCAATTTTCCTCTGATTATTAAAAACTGCAAGCGGACATCAACAGCGGTATTAGTTGGACGCACAACTGTTAAAAAAATAAATTTCAATTTTGAGAAGTGCAAAGTGATGCAAATTGTTTGTCGGAAAAACTAATTAACAATATCATGGCTGATATTGATGGCAATTAGATACTTGGTTGTCTCAAAAGATATTTTAATGTTGGAGTTATACATCTATGGAATAAACTGTACCAACTGTATTTTAAATCACACCAAGATTTTTGTGCGCAAGTCTGGTCATCCTTACTCAAACCAGAAATTTTTCTTTTCTCAGAATATTGTTCCATATTGTTCAATTTATTCTACAACTAGATTCTTTCTTTTTTTTAAGTTTTCTCATCATCCTCAGCATATAATTGAAAAATATGACCTTTTTTTTTAAAACCATGTTGCAAGCTGTTGATGTTGGAGGCGCAGTTACAAGTTAACTAATTGCAAAACTTTTACTATTTTACTGTTGCTCTATTTATTGCTGCTCTGAGCCGTAGCAACCAAGATACTTAGCATTAGCTTCAACCAAGATACTGACCCATAATGAGCAGATAACTTGTCTTGATGATGAAACAAAATTTTTTGCAAAGTGACTATTTTGTAAAATGACAAAATGATTTTTTTCAAAATGACAAATTATGCATTTTAATAAGGGCACCTAATTGCTGCTACGCCGGGCGTTATAAAAGCTCTCGGTGGCCCTGCATGGACCATAACTATTTATGGACCATAAAAACCATAAATTATGGTTTTAAAATATATTGCATACAAAGAAAAACAAGGGCAAGGCCAACGATACCCCCCCCCCACACACACACACACTTTTTTTCTATAGGACCTTTTCTTTATATAAAGAAAAATCTTGATATAGAGGACTTTTTTCATAAATTGATGATTGTGCCCCCACCCCCCTTACTTCAAAACCCGTGTCGTCGGCAGTGAATGGGTATATATTTACATACAAAGAAAACCAAGTGAGTTATTTGCAAAACGTATTTACATATAAAGAATGTATTTACATACAAAGAATATATTTACAAACAAAGAATGTAAAAAAGTATTTACATTTAAAGAATGTAAAAACGTATTAACATACAAAATATATTTAGATACAAAGACAAAACATGTGAATTATTTGCAAAACGTTTATGAATGAGACTAAAACGTAACAAGCAACTAAATTTTAGTAAAAACTAATTTAATAATTTATTAAAATTGGTTGAAACAGCATGTTTGTTTGTTTTTTCTAACAATATTTAAACTTAAAGAAATTTTTATACTCTATGTTAATTTTTATATTATGTGTAAAAGATGTTAAAGTTAAATGTTATTGCTTAAGTTTTGTATTAGGTCTTTTTTATATGAAAATTATGTTGTAAAAAATCTGAAAATGATTTAACATCTGCACCACTCCAAAGTGGGGTAAGTGGTTTTTATAAAAAAGATTATTATGTTCAAAACCATATAATAAAACATGTTTGAACTATTCTATTGTAATATTTTAAAAGCTGTTCTGAGCATATTCAATATATTTTATATATGTTCTGAGCATATACAATATATTTTAAAACCATAAATAGTATCATACATTACAGGATTTAATCTTCTTGTCACCCTCGTGGGATTTTGTACTGACTACTTTATAAATTTGCCGTTACAAGGAAAATAATAAATTCAATAATAATTCATTGCAATGAAATGTTTTATTTACATAAAACATATAAAGGAAGGTTTTATTTACATAAAATATATAAAGGAAGGTTTTATTTACATAAAACATATAAAGGAAGGTTTTATTTACACAAATGTATTTTTATAATTCATAGTTACAAAATCACAACATGTGAAATAACAAAATATTTGCTTCAATTTACTTGCTCCCTTAATGCGGCAAACAACCTAAAACTCACCCTCGGCTGGCGCTGTTACCATAATGTATGTAATTGTTGAATTAACAAATTACAATTAGTACTTTGGTTTCAAAAGATACCTACATATGGTTTTAAAATATGGCATTACAAAATATGTCTACAATCTAATGGAACAATATAAATAACCCTTTAGCTTTCATTTTGGGTTTATTTGCAGGAGTGGATCCAGACTATTTAGTAAAGGGGAGGGGCAATTTTTGAGTTTTTTATTTATTGGGTTCAGACCATCTAGTAAAGTAGAGGGACGATTCGTAGGTTTGATGATTTGTGTGCAGGCTAGCTAATTTGTAGGTTTAATTTGTAGGTTTGATGATTTGTGTACAGGCTAACAAAACATAACACTTTCTTTGTCAATTTTTTCAGAATATAAGTCTTACATTGTCTTAATTTATGTAATTTTAAAATTACGTAATTTACATCTGTTTTTAAGGTATTTTTATATAATTAGACATCTTTTTTTTTAAAAATTGATATATTAATTTTTTTATTATATTAATTACAAATATAGGTCGATGAAAAATAAAATAAAAACTTTCAAAATTATAGCCTTTTTCATAAGAACTGGTGGTTTTAACAATTATACTCGCCTATTGAAAATTTCATAAGTACAAATCTGAGTAAGTAAAACTCTTCAACGAGGTTACTTAGTGAAGATATTAATAAAAACGCTTTAACCAAAACAAACAAAAATCAAGTAATATTTATCATGTAAAATAAAACAGAACTCACTCAATCTAGAATTATAGGATGGGCATCCTACATGTTTTTGTTCATATTGTTGTTCATCCTTCAATGACTTTGTTTTTGTCTATAAACCCTTTTTCATTAGGTCTCTTCTTACTTTTCTCTGTCTTTTTAATTTACCAGATGGTTATTTACTATGAATCTATGCTCTATGATGGTCACTTTTTAATGCATTTTTTTTTATAAAATTTCCAAGTGGAATATTCAAAGTAACCTGCAAGTAACATGTTTTTGCTATTAAATACAAACTTACACATAATAAAAATAAAACTCTTCTTGAATACCTCTCTATACTAATTTTCTGCTAATTTATGAAATTTAATGATGAAAGTGAAAACAGATAAATCACGTAAATGCAGCTCTAAAATTACTCTTTCTTTTTGTTACACCATTTTAATTTACAAAAAAAAAAACTTCAAACTAAAATTTTTTTTAGTTATACTAAGTGCATCAGCATGTCGTGATTAGAATTATAGATCTATAATTCTGATCGCGACAAATTTTAAAGTTACAAATTATTTATGGAAATGTATTTATGTATTAAGCTTGATTACTCAAAAGCATTTTCAAAAGAGTTGAATTTTCTTTTTATGGGAGTAACTTTGACTTTAGTCAGAATTTAAAACTGAATTTTTAGTCAGTCTTGCAGTCTCGTCTTCTTCGTTGTTATTATTGATGCAGTAGTGGTGTAGTGGTAGAGCGCTCGCTTCATAAGCGAGAGGTTCCGAGTTCAATCCCCGGCCACGTCCCTGGTAGTACCGCGCTCAACACGTTTCTCCGCACAGCGGCCTTGTTCGTCAAGGTTCGTGTTTCGGAGTTGTAGAGTTGAGAGAGGGTTATATAACCACAAATAAGTAGCCTCCTCGTCTGTAGTGGCCTTTTTGGCCTTGAGAAGATAAATTAACAAAAAAAAAAAATGTTGCAGTTATCATTTAAATGATAAGTGAAAAAAAATTATTCGTTTTAAATACTTTCGACATTAGGCTTTTTAAAACGAGTCAAAAAAGCCTAATTTCATTTAAATGCCCATGTTATTTTAAAAATGGAAAATAATATTTAGGATTTTTTGATTTGGCACAACTAAACGTTAAAAGATTTATATCTCGGTTTCTGGACCTTCGTTTATTACTTCTTGCATTGTCTATTTTTCAAACGAAATATTCTCAGGAGGTTTAAAATATTCTCGGAGCTGTTTAAATTTGGCAAATAAGAAAAATGCAATTTAGAACTGCGTAGCTTTGCAAACACCAGGAGTTTTTTCAGATAATTGACATTTAATGTTAAAATCAATTTTTTCAAGTTTTTTCTAAAATTTGTTGAACTTTTTTTGTCTATAGACTTTAAATTGAATGGTAAAAACTTGGTAGTTTGAACACACTTTATGCGACAGTTACTACAGATGCAAAACAAGCTATGTTTCCCAATGGCTTCAAATACCACCAATGACACCAATTGATAATATATATGAAACCAATAGGAACATAATTTACATTTACAATTGCTTTAACTTTTGTAGTTATTAAAACTCCGCAGGTCTTATGACAAATGTCAAAATTAACCTTTATTAAAAGAAACCAGGTGTTGACGAATGTAGTTTTAAAAGTAATACTAACTAGATGTATAAAGACAAAAAGAAACCAGGTGTTGACGTATGTAGATTTAGAGGTAATGCTAACTAGATAAAGACCAAAAGTGTAGAGACCAAAAGGTTTCAGTTTTTTCCGTTTTCTTTATTCCATTTATCTTTTATATTTACATATAATAAATTGTTCTGAAAACCATATAGTAACAATTTTATTGATTATCTTCAAAAGTACAAAAGAAAGAAAACGTAAAAACTGCTATATTTAGACTTACAATGGGCTTACAATTAGACTTACAATGAACTTGTTGATCTGAAGCTTATTTATTATAGCTCAATTAACAAAACCTAATAATTTGAACAAAGGAACATATTCGGTGTCTGTAAAAGCATAGATTGGTATCAGATGATTAGCCTCCAAACATGGTTTAACTAATAGGAAACTTACGCACAAGAACTATAACAAATTTTGATAATGAAAAGCTCTTTAGAATGACGAAAAAAAGGTACGTAAAAAAAAGTGCGCAAGATAATTACTATCAGCATTGATGTAATTCTTCTTTGTATGATTTTTCTTTTTTCTTTGCGTGAAGTTTTTAGAGGCATATTTTTATATTAGAATAGATTTAATACTTATTTATATTTATATTATTCTCCATAGTTCACCATTGCTGTCTTTAAATTCATAACCTTCAATTGATAACAGGAAGTTTAATTTTGAAAAAAGTTTCTTTTGAAAAAAGACCTATTTATATTATTCAATCTCATAGTTCACCATTGCTGTCTTTAAATTCATAACCTTCAATTGATAACAGGAAGTTTAATTTTGAAAAAAGGTTCTTTTGAAAAAAGACCTATTTATATTATTTAATCTCATAGTTCACCATTGCTGTCTTAAAATTTATAACCTTCAATTGAAAACAGGAAGTTTATTTTTGAAAAGAGGTTCTTGACCGACGTAAAGCGTTGTACAAGGATACGTTTAAAGTTCACTAACAGCAAATTTTACTTATTAGAGTTTTATGCCCATTTTTCAAAAGGAAAAAATTGCGGCCGAAAACTTATCAGTTTACCACTAAAAGTTATTTTTTAAATGAATAAATACAACTATTTTGTTGTATTCATTCATTCACAGCGATTTCGTTGTATTCGTTAATTCAAAAAAATTTATACTTTGCAAAAAGGCTTACGTGTTCGTAAAACCACTATTGTATATTTCTCGATGTTGTAAAAATAGGTTTTTTCAATAATAATTTAATGATAATTAAAAATTATTTCAAAAGAATAAATAATGACTTTGCTAAATATAGTAATGTTAATTAGCGTAATATTAGAAATTTGATATAGTAATTTATATTTGGCATGAATAACAATACTGGTAATCTGGGTACAATAGCAATACTAGTAGTCTGGGAACAATTTTAGGTTTTAGCATTTGAAGTTTCATACGTATTTCGTTACATATATATATATATATATATATATATATATATATATATATATATATATATATATATATATATATATATATATATATATATATATATATATATATATATATATATATATATATATATATATATATATATATATATATAGGCGCGGATGCAGCATTTTTTGATGTTTGAGATACCTAACTTCTAGACATAAAACAAACTCAAGTTGATAAAATAATTTTTATACTATTCATAACAAAATCTATATTCATCGATTGATTTTAAAATTCACACAAAAATCTTTTATCGTTCAAAAACCCCCCATCAATTTGAGGGGGTAGCAAATTTTATAGGGCCATAACTGTTGAACGCTAAGAGATTATTGTGAGAGTTTTAAAACTTATCGATGAATATAAACTTGTTTGAGAATAGTAGAAAAAATACTTTATCAACTTTTCGCTCTCACATTTGGGGTAGGTGTAGCTAAAATATTAGGGTTTTTTTGTTCCCAGGATCCAATCATTGCAATTTTGTGCAGAGCATCTTTATTTAATATAAGTATAAACATATAAACTTTTGGAGTTTCTTTTATATCTGGAATTTAGGTATCTCAAACATCAAAAAAATATATATACACCTGCAAATTTGCTGTTAATTTACATTAACCACTAATATGAATATAATAATTCTTAATTAATGTGAAATTATTACGTTTTTTCTGCTATAAAGTTTTCTATTTTAATTTTTTCATCTGGAAATGAGTATATTTTCTAAGATTTAAATATTTTACAAAATTAAAACAAAAATAGAAAATAGAAAAATATATATATACATGTCAACTGTTTAAAAGGTTAAACTGTCCTAAGTTTTTATTGATTAAAAAAAAAAAAGTAAAGCTTTTATTGATTAATAAAAAAAATTATGTAAACTTAGTTTTAAAAAAGGAAATATTGTTAAATTAAAAGTTTTTAATCAAGAAGAAAAAGAAGAAGATACTTTTGCTTATTAATCATTTATAAACTTTTCATCATCTTGCTTGATGCTCCAACAGAAGTCTGCCATGAAGTGTTTGTCTCACAATTCTTAGTAAGGCTCTTCAATTGTCTACACAATTTTCTGTTCAATTGATTTACAAAAGATTTTGATGAAACCTCTCTCCTTGCTCCTTACTTACATATTAAAGGTTTTCAGGAAACTAGTCAAGATGACCATTTATAAAATAATATATTTTACTCATTTTAAATCCAAAATCACAAAAGGTTTTTAATACTTTATTATACATATTTTTTTTTTTTTGTCGAGAAAGAAAACAACCATAAATGACAATCAAGACAGTTTCTCCGACTTTATTTTCACTCTATTGACAAACTTGATAATGCTGTAACTATGTACTGAAAGCAAACACTATCAGATTTCAGTGCTTTAACAAAAATCTTCATGAAACTAAGTTTAAGACAAATTGGTGGAAATACTTTTTATTTTAGTAATAATGAGTTCATTCACAATACTTGGCATATCCAGTGTGAGAGTGTGATTTACCCATTCTTTTTGTATCTAGTGTTAATTTCTTGCTCGACCGTCCAACACAGAGATAATAAAAAATCTAATGTTAATAATATGTAAAATTTTACTAAGATAATATAAAACTTTTTTGCTGATCAAGAAGAAAGTTAAAAATTTTTATGTTTACACAAATAATCCAGTTGTGCTCTGGATTTTTAATCAAGTTAAGCAACGTTTTAAAGTCATGGTAAGTATCGCGCAAATAAACAAAATAACCAATTAATTCAGAATCAAAAATATTGCTATTGTGCAAAAGAACACATTTGAGGGTTTGAGCTATCGATAAAAAGTCTTTATTTTGTTGGATTATATACAGAAATATCCAACAGTAATAAAAGATCTGAAATATCACAACAGAAAATTGCAACGTTCCAAAAAACCTAATGCTTCCTGACAAAAACGGAGAATTTAAAAAATATTTTTATGTTTGTTTATTTCATCCTAACTAAAAACTAGTTCAAACCAAATAAAAACATATACTGTAAAAATTATTAACCCCCTAAAATAGTCAAAACTTCAAACTTATAATTTACCTTTCAATTTGTTTGATTGCAAATTTTAATTGCAAATACCAAAATAGTTTTTGCCGTTCAACGGGCAATACTAAATCAGTTCAACAGTTAAAATTAATATAAACAATTATTTACCGGTTGATTTGGCATTATAACAGCACCGGTTGGATTTCTTATCTTTTTTCTTTTGTTACGGTTAATTGATGAAGCAGGACTTTTTTTTAAATTTTTTAATGACGTAGATGATGTTTCTTCTACATGTTCTAAAACTTCATTTTTATTTAAACCTTTGCCGGTTCTATCTTTTATAGTTGGTTCATTTTGTGTGTGATTACTTGGTGAAATTGCTGCTGATGTCTTTTGGTTTACATTTGTACTATTTGAAGAAGTACCTCGAGTAGTAGAGCTTGCTGTTGAGACATCTTTTTTAAATCTTGAATTAAAACGATCAGACTCTTTACTAGCCATGTGTTTAATGTTTAAAGATTTTTATACAAATAATGTTGATTGTTTTTTGAAGAACAGCACAGCTAAAAACACGGACTTGAAAACAATTTTGATAAAATTTTGAAAAATCAAACAAAACTTAAGGCTGAAAACTTTGTTTCTTTTTTAACTATTTTTTAACTACAAAAATAAATAGTATAATTGAAATATATTTATACGTTATGAATAATATATTTTTATAACAGAAAAAAATTGTTAATTTAAAAATACTTTTACTATTACACAAAACCTAAAAACCAAACATAAAGAAACAAAAATCAAAAACATAAAACCTAGAAGAGATTTATGTGTCTGCCCTTGGGTGACATTTATGATATTTATGTGTACCTCTCTGTAAGTGTCTAAACTTAAATATGACTTTGACTGTGAGTGTTTGAGCAATAAATTTGTCTTTGCCCTGAAATTGTTCGGTTGGTTTATTAAAACATCAGCAGCACAATTATATATTAAGATTATATGTAAAACAAATATTATATATACAAAGTTTCAGATTATATAAACATTACAAAAACTTTAAGATATAATCACTTAAAATTATATAAAAAAATATTCGAAAAAATATTGTATAAATTATGTAGATATATTATATTTTGTCCGATTTTATTTTAAAGAGAATATTTGAAAACAAAAAGTACACATAGTAATGAAAACAATTTATTTACTTTGAATAATAACTTAGATCATATTTCAGACGTATAGTTCCCTCACTTAAAAATAATTTAGTTATGACAAATAATTGATAAGTAATTGCTAGTTTTTTTACATATTGCTGCAAACGAACGCATTTGCAGCGCTTTATTTGCAATTTAATGTAGACATGCTTTAATATATGCTAATCGTGAAAACTCAAAAAATTCTAAATACTTAAAAAAAATTGTAACTTAAAGTAAATGTTGAAATACATAATTTTAAGAGGGTACTTAAAAAACATGTGAATCTTAAGTTTTTGCCAACATTTTTGTTATAAGTTTTTTTTTCTTTTTCTAACTATTTAGTATAAGTATTTATTCTATTTACTATGTATAGTAAACCGTGTTAATATGTTTATACCTTTTTTTGCTCTCACTGAAAAAAACACTGAAGTAAAACGAATAAAAATCTTTTAAAAATATAACAAAAAACTAAAATAATAAACCTCTAATCTGTATGAGTTTACAAACACAAATTGAAACTAAGCTACTTAACTTAAAAATTACGTTTAACAAATTTTTTTAATCATAATTTGATTTTACGCTAATTTAATAACGAATTAATCTATTTCATTGCCAATATATAGACCAAGATTAATGCGCACGTAATATAGGCTGCAACATACACAACAAAGAATTTAACGGTACCGACAAGAGTTCTACATATATATACTATTATAAAACACAGTATATATAATAGTATATGTACTGTGTATTATAATAGTATATATATATATATAAATATATATATATATATATATATATATATATATATATATATATATATATATATATATATATATATATATATATATATATATATATATATATATATATATAATTATAAATTAATAGAAAATCACTTAACAAAATTTTTTTTTCATTTTAAATTTATATATATATATATATATGTATATGTATATATATATATATATATATATATAAATATATACATATATATATATATATTATACTTTTGATTACGTGTTAAAACGTAGTTGATATCAAATCATATAAATCGTATGTTCTAGTGTTGCCGATTATAAAACAAAGATGTTAATTATAAAAGATAAGTAAACAAAAATAGATTTTTGTACACTGATAACATTTTTTTTAAACATAGCAAAAATATGTTTCATTTTTGTGAATTTTTTGAATAGTTAATATGTTTGTTATTTCTGTCGTTTTATACGTGATAATTACGCGATGTTTTATGGTTATTGATTGAAAAATTAAAACTTTGGCACAATAATAATACTAATATAAAGTAAATACTAACAAAATTTTTGTTAAGAAAAATACTTTTAGCTCTACTTGTAGTGATTTTAGAATCCGAAGTTGCGAGTTGCGAGTTGCGAGTTGCGAGTTGCGAATTGATTGCTTAACAACGAAGAAAATATTGTGCACAATGTATTTTTAATAGTTTTTTCAAAACTCAGCAAAATGTACTTTCATTTAAAAAAAGTTTTTTTAAAAAACTAATAGCTATTTTAAATACATTTCTCATTATGTGCATTTTTTTGCTTCCTACCTTGTTGTTTTTTCATATTTATTAAAAGTTGATGTTTTAATGATTTTAAATATAAGAATTTGCTATTAAAAGCGACTTGAGCAAATGTACGATTTATACTTAGGTATTCTATATACTTATTTTGTGAAAACAGAAATTGAAATATTTAAAACCAGAAGACACTTTCTGATTAGTTTTCTATTTATAGCTAGCTATAAATAAAATTTTTTACCTTAGCTAGCTAAGCTACCTTAATTAGATACTTTAGCTAGCTAAGCTACCTTAGTTAGATACCTTAGCTAGCTAAGCTACCTTAGTTAGATACCTTAGCTAGCTAAGCTACATTAGTTAGATACTTTAGCTAGCTAAGCTACCTTTGTTAGATACCTTAGCTAGCTTAGATACCTTAGTTAGATACCTTAGCTAGCTAAGCTACCTTAGTTAGAAACCTTAGCTAGTTAGAGACATCAGCTAGCTAAGGTATCTAACTATCTTACCCTATCGGTGTCGTAATTTGATTATACGCATTACGTCTTCATCCCATGAATTTAATACTCAACAGCATACTGTGTGTGCAATTAAACATATGATTGTTTTTACATTTACATTTGAATTTGCTGGTGTATTTTTATTAATTTTTCATTTTTTTACGTTAATAAGTTTAGTACTTTTTAAATTTTTTTTTTTACTTAAACCAACCCATTTTCTAACTTTAATTGTTCTTTTCTAACATTTTTTATACTTTTATTACTTTTTTTATACTTTTTATACGTTTTTATTCGTTTTTTTTAATACTTATTTTTAATCTCTACAATAAAAAGTGAAACATTTTTTTGAAAGTTTTGCAACTTCTAAAAAGAAACGAGTATTGAAAGTTTCTACTATTCATTCAATCATTCTAGAAATTCATTTCTTTTTAATCACTTGTATATGTAATGTATGATAAATAATATAAAAAATATGATGATGAAAATATATGACATAGTAAATACAAGGCTTCCATGTAACATGTTTACAAACTTAAATGCCCAGGTACTTTGTGACAGACTCTTTATGTTTATAAATGTTGCTGTTTGACAAAAATAAGCAAGTATCATCCGCTTACCAAGTACTTATAAGGTTTAAAGCGCGAAAAAGTTAATAGCTATAAACATTTATTTAAATTAATTACAAAACAAAAATGCCCCTATAATATGTAAATGCATACTTAAGTATATCCACTTTGTAAAGCACCATACTTTATTTCAATTAACTTTCATTTTTCAAACCTTTTTAATAATTAAATTGCATTTTACTATCTTTTGAACTATTTTATCAATTTACTTCTAATACCGTAAATTTTTAAGTTTTTGGTTTTTATAAAATATATACTGGGTAATAGTAGATATTGCATAAAAATATACATATTGCATATATATAAATTAGTACATATTGCAATTTTTACTAGTATATATTGCAAATGACTCAAATCTTGATTTTTTACTCGGTTGCTAGGTAGTTTTATTGACCAATCCTTCGATTGAATTTTATTGACCAATCCTTCGATTCGAAAATCACCCAATATATATTGCAATCTGCTTAAAAAAACTAAGATTTACAAATGAATATGGACAATAATATTTTATTAGCTAAATAATTATCTATTAAATAATTTTAAATAAACTACCTGTAAAACCTGTTATAATTAAATTTAAGTGGAACAAAATTAAAATCATCATAGCTAGCAAGCATAGCTGCAGCTATGCTTGCTAGCAATGATATATATATAAGCTATTGATATATATATATAATAATAATATAATAATTAATGCTGTTGAGATAAAGCGCCAGGCAATATCTATGACAGCCGGTATAAATTAATTAATGAACAAGTTAGTTCAGTCACTAAATAATAAAAACGTTAATAATAATCTTTTTTTGTTTTTATCTTGTTTGTTATTGCTTCTAAGTCAACCGGTTGCAAGTTTAATTTGAAGCTTTTAACTGTAGTAGATTGAACAACTTCGGCTGGTAGACTATTCCATCCATCAACATCTCTATTGCTGAAAAACCATTGCCTTTTCAAACAATTTCTGACCAAATCAGGTTTCATTCGATATTGCAAATAAAGTTCATTGTTTTTTTTTGTTTAATATCAATGATTTCAATACATTTAAATATTTTGAATTGCTGGATCAAGTCGCACTTTAGCCTTCTAGTCTCCAAAGTAGTCAAACCCAAAATTTCCAATCTTTTTTAGTACTCAAGATGTCTTAGCTCCGATTTGGTAGCTTTCTCATTTTGGTAGCTCTTCGTTGGACTTTTTCTAGTTCATTAATATCTTTTGTATAATACTTTTGTAAATACTATTTGCTTTACTAGCTGCATATTTTACTTGTTTGGCCCATTTTAAATTGCTTGATATATAAACACCAATGTCTTTTTCTAGTTTTGACTTTTCAATTTTTATTAATGTATTGTTATTGTTCATAAAATATGAATATTCGTTATAATTTGAACCAAAGTGCATAATTTTACATTTTTCAAACTTTAATCCTAATTTCCATTTTGTTGATCATTCGTCAAGTTTATTTATATCATTTTGAAACAATTGTGAATCATTTTGAGAAGAAATAGGCGTAATTATTTTATTATCATCAGCATATAAATATAAACTAGCTCGAATAGCTGCAGAAGGAAGCCAAAGAAAATGATGAGTTGTGTAAATTATCATTGTCAATATTAGAGACATTGGCAACCTCTTCAGGCTTAGTTAAATAAAAAACTATTTATTATTATTTAATCTACTAATTATTTGTTACCCGATTGTGAGAGTATCAGCCAGGAAAAAAAGTTCTATAGAATTTCTCTAATTTTGTGAAACATATCGCCTATAGAAATTCTATAGAATTCTATGGATTTTCTATAGAATCTCTTTTAATTTCCGTAGAAATTTTTATATAAAATTTTTGTACTTTTTTTTCTATAGAAAAAAAGTAATAGACAATTTAATAGACATTCTATAGAAGTAATATAGAATTTCTATACGCCATATGTTTCAAAAAATTATAGAAATTCAATAGAATTTTTTTTCCTGGGAGGTGGTTATACCATAATTTTTTTTTTTTTTTTTGTTCTTTATTACAATTATAAAGATACAAATACAAATATACGAGAGAAAAATTACAAGTGAAGGTATCGTAAAAATAAATAAATAAAAGA